TGCCCCCCCCCACCTTTTCTTTCCATTCCTCTTTCTCTCCTTTCCTCCTTCTCTACCTATTCTTGGATTGCAACTCCCAGCACTCCTCCTGATTGATCTGTCTACCTACCTATCTAGCTCTATCTAATCTGTCTACCTGGAGGATTGCTGGGAGTTGCAGTCCAGGAATAGGAAATTAGAAATATGCAGGGATTGGGATGCTCTCAAAGAAACCCAAAGATAAGAAAGCTTGCAACCTGGAAGCAGTGCATTTGGATCATCCTCCTCTCCTAAAGGGCCTGGTCTAGGGGATGCTGGGAACTGTAGTCCAGAAGAGAGTGTGGATATGCTATTGTGCATTTTGTTTGCCGGGGGAGTAATTTTTGTGTATGTGGTATAGCATTTTTGCTTTTTAAGTCCTTTCTTCTGTGTTTTTCAGTGTTTTTATGAGTGATGGTCACTTGTTGGCCTGATAGGTGCACTGTATCCAAATTATGTTAATCCCACAAACGAACATTACATTTTTATTTATATACTAGCTGTACCTGCCACAAGTTGTTGTGGCCAACCTTCCTTCCCTCTTTCTCTCCTTCCCACCCTCCCTCCTTCCTTCACTCTTTTTCTTTCCCTTCTTCTTCCTTCCTTTTGTTTCTTTTCTCACTTCCTTTGCTCTGCTTCCATCCTTCCTTGTCTCTTTCCTTCCTTCCGTCTTTCTCTCTTTTGTTCCTTCTTTCCCTTCTTCTCTCCCTCTTTCTCTCCTTCCTTCCTTCTCTACTTACCTTTTTTTCCTTCCTTCTCTCATTCCCTCCCTCCTTCTCTTCTTCCTTCCCCCTTTCTGTGTAGGTGATTTGTGTGTATATGCATATATGTGTGTGTGTATATGTGTGTTTGCGTATATATATATATGTGCTTTTGCACATGCGTTGTAATGTAATTTCTGTTTTTTGGCTTTTTAAGTCTCTTCTGCTGTGTTTTTCTGAGTGATGATTACTTGTTAGCCTGAGATGTGTGTTGTGTTCAAATTTGGTGTCAATTCGTCTAGTGGTTTTTGAGTTATGTTAATCCCACAAACTTCTTGGGAGGAGAGCAATGTCCAATCTCGATAAAATAGTAAAGAGTAGAGACATCACACTGGCAACAAAGATCCATTGCCTAGTCAAAGCCATGGTCTTCCCTGTAGTCACCTACGGATGTGAGAGCTGGACCTTAGGGAAGGCCGAGCGAAGTAAGATCGATGCTTTTGAGCTGTGGTGTTGGAGGAAAGTTCTGAGAGTGCCTTGGACTGTGAGAAGATCCAACCAGTCCATCCTCCAGGAAATAAAGCCCGACTGCTCACTGGAGGGAAGGAGACTAGAGACAAAGTGGAAGTCCTTTGGCCACATCATGAGGAGACAGCAAAGCCTAGAGAAGACAATGATGCTGGGGAGAGTGGAAGGAAAAAGGAAGAGGAGCCGACCAAGGGCAAGATGGATGGATGGTATCCTTGAAGTGACTGGACTGACCTTGAAGGAGATCCTGGGGGTGGTGACGGCCGACAGGGAGCTCTGGCGTGGGCTGGTCCATGAGGTCATGAAGAGTCGGAGACGACTGAACGAATGAACAACAACATATATATATATATATATATATATATATATATAGTTGTTTAGAGGCATTTTCTCCTGACGTTTCACCTGCATCTATGGCAAGCATCCTCAGAGGTAGTGAGGTGTGGTATGTATATATATGTATGTATATATATAGAGCACTATTTATTTATTTATTTACTTTATTTGTATACCGCAGTTTCTCAGCCCGTAGGCAACTCAACGCGGTTAACAACAAGAGCAAAAATTCAATGCTAACAACATACACTATTTAAAAACAATTAACACCGTAGAATACTAAGTAATTACACATCAATAAACAACACATTAACATCTCGTAACTAGAATTGTGATCCAACTCGTCATCCATAATGCAGTTTTCCTATATTCATTGCACTGTTTATCTGAACGCCTGTTCAAATAGCCAGGTTTTTAGTTTTCTTCGAAACACCATTAACGAGGGGGCTGATCTAATGTCCATGGGAAGGGCGTTCCACAGCCAAGGGGCCACCACTGAGAAGGCCCTGTCCCTCGTCCCTGCCAAACGTGCCTGTGATGCAGGCGGGATCGAGAGCAGGGCTTCCCCAGAAGATCTTAAAGTCCTGGTGGGTTCGTAGGCGGAGATACGTTCGGATAGGTAACTTGGGCCAGAACCGTTTAGGGCTTTATAGGCCAACGCCAGCACTTTGAATTGTGCCCGGTAGCAAATTGGCAGCCAGTGGAGCTGGCGCAGCAGAGGAGTTGTATGCTCCCTGAGTGCCGCTCCTGTTAGTATCATGGCTGCCGAACGTTGAACCAATTGAAGCTTCCGAGCAGTCTTCAAAGGCAACCCCACGTAGAGAGCATTGCAGTAGTTTAAATGGGATGTAACCAGAGCGTGGACTACCGTGGCCAAGTCAGACTTCCCAAGACTTACCACTATACTGTAATATTAGTAATATTACATGTAATGTAAATATTTATTTATTTTATTTTATTGATTTACTTTATTTGTATACCGCTCTATCTCAGCCCGTAGGTGACTCAGAGCGGTTTACAGCCTAGTCAGTATACAAAGTGGACAGCATTAGCATTAAAACAGTAATCAGGGCAACTACAATAATATAACAATACATCAATACATCAATATAACATCAATACATCCATATAACTAATCCATCACGTCTCATCAGCAAAATCGTAATCCAATCTCTTAGTCCATTATTCCATGTTCCATGATCAATCAATTAATTGCACTGCTTAATTAAACGCCTGTTCAAAGAGCCAGGTCTTCTCCTGAACGCTAGCAGAGAGGGGGCCGATCTAATGTCTGCTGGAAGGGTGTTCCACAGCCGGGGGGGGGCACCACTGAGAAGGCCCTGTCTCTCGTCCCCACCAGCCTTGCTTGTGAGGCTGGCGGGATCGAGAGCAGGGCCTCCCCGGACGATCTTAATGTCCTAACTGGTTCATAGGGGGCAATGTGTTCGGAGAGGTAAGTAGGGCCAGAACCGTTTAGGGCTTTATAGGCTAAAGCCAGCACTTTGAATTGTGCCCGGTAGCAGATTGGCAGCCAGTGGAGCTGGCGCAACAGAGGAGTGGTGTGCTCCCTGAGTGCCGCTCCTGTTAGTATCATGGCTGCCGAGTGTTGGACTAATTAAAGCTTCCGGGCAGTCTTCAGAGGCAACCCCACGTAGAGAGCGTTGCAGTAGTCTAAACGGGATGTAACCAGAGCGTGGACTACCGTGGCCAAGTCAGACTTCCCAAGACTTACCACTATACTGGCCCGGCCCAGTTTTATTGTGTTTAGTGTATTGTGCCTGTTGTTTATTTTGTTTTATTTTGTTTTTAATTGTTTGATTTCCTTAGATTGTATTGTTGTGTTGTGTGTTGAGGCCTCGGCCTGTGTAAGCCGCATCGAATCCTTCAGGAGATGCTAGCGGGGTACAAATAAAGTTTAATAATAATAATAATAATAATAGTAATATTACATGTAATGTAAATATTAGGGCTGTGCGGTTTCGTTTTGTTAATTCGTAATTTGTTAATAATTCGTTAATTTTTCCATTTACAAAACGATAACAAACTATTCTGGAGCAATTATTAAAAAAAACGAATTTTTAAATACGTTTTGTAAATGCTTCGTAATTCGTTATTGTATTCGTTTCGTTACTGTTCCGAGATCGTTTCGTTATTATTTCCGCATGTCTGGGCCAGTTTTATGGTTTAATTAGTGAAAAAAAATTATAATATCACACCAACAGTCAAGAACAGAGGGAGAGGGAAGCTTCAGAAGGTTTTGGAGGTTTTTTAGCGTATTTCGCGGTCGCGCCCGCCATTAACGAATCGATTCGTTAATTTTTACCATTTACGAAATTTTCATAAATATTAACGGATTGTAGGGGAAAAGTTTTGTAATTATTTTAAATATCGAAACAAAAAAACACCCCAATTACAAATCGATTTTAGAACCAAATTTTTTCTTGATCAACCAGGCCTAGTAAATATATATAATTATATTGTATTATTATTAGTATTATTATTATGTGCGGGGCTGTGATGAATGCAAAGCTGGGGTGAAAATTGCTGGAAGAAACATTAACAACCTCAGATATGCAGATGACACCACTCTGATGGCCGAAAGCGAGGAGGAGCTGAGGAGCCTTCTAATAAAGGGGAAAGAAGAAAGCGCAAAAGCCGGGTTGCAGCTAAACGTCAAAAAAACCAAGATTATGGCAACAAGAATGATTGACAACTGGAAAATAGAGGGAGAAACCGTGGAGGCCGTGACAGACTTTGTATTTCTAGGTGCAAAGATTACTGCAGATGCAGACTGTGGCCAGGAAATCAGAAGACGCTTACTTCTTGGGAGGAGAGCAATGTCCAATCTCGATAAAATAGTAAAGAGTAGAGACATCAGACTGGCAACCAAAGATCCGCCTAGTCAAAGCCATGGTATTCCCTGTAGTAACCTACGGATGTGAGAGCTGGACCTTAGGGAAGGCTGAGCGAAGGAAGATCGATGCTTTTGAGCTGTGGTGTGGAGGAAAGTTCTGAGAGTGCCTTGGACTGCGAGAAGATCCAACCAGTCCATCCTCCAGGAAATAAAGCCCGACTGCTCACTGGAGGGAAAGATACTAGAGACAAAGTTGAAGTACTTTGGCCACATCATGAGGAGACAGGAAAGCCTAGAGAAGACAATTATGCTGGGGAAAGTGGAAGGCAAAAGGAAGAGGGGCCGACCAAGGGCAAGATGGATGGATGGCATCCTTGAAGTGACTGGACTGACCTTGAGGAGCTGGGGGTGGTACGGACGACAGGGAGCTCTGGCGTGGGCTGGTCCATGAGGTCACGAAGAGTCGGAGACGACTGAACGAATGAACAACAACAACAACAACAACATTAGCAGATAACATTCCTGAAACCAGAGCCATCATGTGCAGTTCTTGTTGAGCTCACCTTCCCATTCCTGGGGCTGCCATTCACAAACAGGGTGACTCTCTTCATCTCTTCTCCTTCTTCCCTCAGAGTGACATGCTCTTCCCCGCCTTGGTTGCAAACCCGGAAGCCGAAGTTCTTTCCCTGACTCAGCCTATCCACCAATCCGCACCAAGCCTCGTTCTCCTTCGCCCAATAGGAACCGCGATGCACGTTGTAGGCGGGACTTTCGCCTTAGAACAGCTCCAGCGGGAGCCTATCAGAGCGCACTGTTTTTCCAGCTGAGGGAGGGGCTACTTTGCATAGGAGAGGCGAGCGCCGCTTCTGATTGGTTGCTGATCCTATGACGTTGAATTACCAACGGTTGTTTGTGTCGGTTAACGATATTGACGCTTCCGCGTGGCCGGCCCTCCTTGAAAAGTAGTCCCTGGGATGTGGGCGGTGCCTCTTTTCATTGGAGGAAAGACGTGGGAGAGTTTCGGTCACGTGAGACACAAAACTGGCCAGAATTCAAGGGAAGTCGGGAATAAGAATAACAAAGAGTCTTATTGGAGAGAAGGCGGAGGGATACGTAAGTGCATCACGAGGGAAGAGGCTTGTTTGAACGGAAAGCGCGAGGAAAAGGCAGTCGCTCTGAGGCGAGTGAAGGGAGAAGGTGTTTATGTTGAAGGAGCTTTAATGAGGCCTGTTGTTGTTGTTGTAGGCTAAAGGCCTCAATGGCAAGTGTGTCTCCACACAAGACAGGCGCCTCCCCGAAGGGCCCCAACGCCGTGGAAAGGCCCACTTATTGGACCCCTCGCAAGAGTGGATTAGGACCAAAACCAGGCCTTGAAAGCGCTGCGACGCCTCTCGATTTCTCTACCTTGAAAGCAGCTGATTTTGGCATCACCCCGGAGTCGTTTACAAAACAAACGGAAGGTAATTTTCAAAGAAATCTGCGTTCTTGTAGGTTTTTTCGGGCTAGATGGCCATGTTCTAGAGCAGTGGTTCTCAGCCTTCCAAATGCCATGACCCCTTAATACAGTTCCTTATGTTGTGGTGACCCCCAACCATAACATTATTTTCGTTGCTGTTTCAGAACTGTAATTTTGCTCCTGTTACGAATCATCTTGTAAATATCCGATATGCAGGATGTATTTTCATTCATTTGACACAAATACTCGATACGCCCAAATTTGCATACTGGTGGGGTTGAAGGCAGGATTGCTTTTGTCATTTGGAAGTTATGGTTGCTGGGATTTATAGTTCACCTACAATATCAAAGAGCATTCTGAACTCCACCAATGATGGAATTGAACCAAACTTGGCACACAGAGCTTCCATGACCAACAGAAAATACTGGAAGGGTTTGGTGGGCATTGACCTTGATTTTTGGAGTTGTAGTTCACCTACATCCAGAGAGCACTGAAGACTCATAATAATGATGGATCTGAACCAAACTTGTCATGGATACTCAATATGTCCAAATGTAAACACTGGTGGAGTTGGGGGGAAATAGACTTGACATTTGGGAGTTGTCGTTGCTGCGTTATATAGTTCACCTACAATTAAAGAGCATTCTGAACATCATCAATGATAGAATTGGGCCAAACTTCCCATACCCCCATGCCTTCAAGGGACTTACTTGTCCTCAGAGTATTGTTGAAGGCATAAAATGGCTGGAATCACTAGGTTGTTGTATGTTTTTTCAGGCTATATGGCCATGTTCTAGAGGCAATTTTTCTCCTGACGTTTCACCTGCATCTATGGCAAGCATCCTCAGAGGTAGTGAGGTCTATTTGGAAGTAGGAAAATGGGTTTATATATCTGTGGAATGACCAGCGTGGGACAAAGAACTCTTGTCTGCTGGAGCTAGCTGTGAATGTATCAACTGACCACCTTAATTAGCATTTGATGGACTGGCAGTGCCTGGAGGAATGTTTTTTTTTGAGAGGTGATTTGATGTGACTGATTGTTGACTCTCTGTTGTGCTGTTGTAATTTTAGTTTTTTTAATACTGGTAGCCAGATTTTGTTCATTTTCATGGTTTCCTGCTTTCTGTTGAAATTGTCCACATGCTTGTGTATTTCAATGGCTTCTCTGTGTAGTCTGACATGGTGGTTGTTAGAGTGGTCCAGCACTAGGTTGCTCCAGGCACTAACAAGCCACACCAAACAACAGCCAGGCCATCAAATGCTAATCAAGGTGGTCAGCTGAAACATTCACACCTAGCTCCAACAGACAAGAGTTCTTTGTCCCATCCTGGTCATTCCACAGATATATAAACCCATTTTCCTAGTTCCAACACACCTCACAACTTCTGAGGATGTTTGCCATAGATGCAGGAGAAGCATCAGGAGAGAAGGCCTCTAGAACATGGCCACATAGCCCGAAAAAACCTACAACAACCCAGTGATTCTGGCCATGAAAGCCTTCGACAATACTTTAAAGAAATCATATAGCAGTCTGCGTCGTGTGTGTTTATGGCAGCGTTTCCCAACCTGGGGGACCTGAAGGAGTCGTCAAAGATGATTAGAAAACAGTATTTTCTGTTGGTCATTCTGTGTGGGAAGTTTGGCCCAATTCTATAATTGGTGGGATTCAGAATGCTCTGATTTAGGTGAACTATAAATCCCAGCAACTACAACTCTTAATGTCAAGATCTATTTTCCCCAAGCTCCACCAGTGTTCACATTTGGATATAACAAGTGCCCATGGCAAGTTTGGTCCAGATCCATCATTGTTTGAGTCTGCAGTGTAGGTGAACTACAACTCCAGAACTCAAGGTCAATGCCCACCAAAGCCTTCCAGTATTGTCTGTTGGTCATGGGGGTTCTGTGCGGGACGTTTGCCCCAATTTTGTTGTTAGTGGGGTTCAGAATGCTCTTTGATTGTAGGTGAACTATAAATCCCAGCAACTACAGCTCTCAAATGTCAAGATGTATTTTCCCCAAACTCCACCAGTGTTCACATTTGGCCACATTGATTATTAGTGCCAAATTTGGTCCAGAGCCGGTGGTGCATTGGGTTAAACCTCTGTGCTGGCAGGACTAAAGACCGACAGATTGCAGGTTCAAATCCGGGGAGAGGCGGATGAGCTCCCTCTATCAGCTCCAGCTCCTCATATGGGACATGAGAGAAGCCTCCCACAAGGATGATAAAACATCAAAAATCATCCAGCGTCCCCTGGGCAATGTCCTTGCAGACGGCCGATTCTCTCACAACAGGATGCTCCTGACACGACAAAAAGAAAATCGTTGGTGGGGTTCAGAATGCTCTGATTGTAAGTGAACTATAAATCCCAGCAACTACAGCTCTCAAATGTCAAGATATATTTTCCCCAAACCACCAGTGCTCACATTTGGGCATATTGATTATTAGTACCAAATTTGGTCCATCATTTTTGAGTCCTCAATGTTCTCTGGATGTAGATGAACTATAACTCCAAAACTCAAGGTCAATGGCCACCAAACCCATCCAGTATTTTCTGTTGGTCATGGGAGTTCTATGTGCCAAGTTTGGTTCAATTCCATTATTGGTGGAGTTCAGAGTGCTCTTTGATTGTAGGTGAATTATAAATCCCAGAAACTACAACTCCCAAATGTAAAGTTTATTTTCCCCAAACTCCACCAGTGTTCACATTTGGACATATTGAGTATCCATGACATGTTTGGTTCAGATCCATCATTCTTTGAGTCCACAGTGCTCTATGGATGTATGTAAACTATAACTCCAAAACTCAAGGTCAGTGCCCACCAAACCCTTCCAGTATTTTCTGTTGGTCATGGGAGTTCTATGTGCCAAGAGTGGTTCAATTCCATCACTGGTAGAGCTCAGAATGCTCTTTGATTGTAGATGAATTATAAATCGTATCAACTACCAAATGACAAAAACACACACACACGCAAACACACCTCTAGATTTCTATCAGCAAATGTGAAAGCAAGACAATAAAAACAAAGGAAAAAACAAAAACAGGACAGACAGGTGGTCTGTCAAATTTGGGTGTATCAGGTATTTCTGCAATTACAACTCCCAAATGACAAAATCAATCCCCACCAGTATTCAACTTTGGGCGTATCGGGTATTTATACCAAGTTTGGTCCAGTGAATGAAAATACATCCTGCATATCAGATACTTACATTACAATTCATAACAGTAGCAAAATTACAGTTATGTCGTAGCAACAAAAATAATGTTATGGTTGGAGGTCAACACAACATAATGAACTGTATTAAAAGGCTGTGGCATTAGGAAGGTTGAGAACCATGGTTTAAGGGGTAGCCATGAATTGTTTGGAGGCATGTGTCAGTAAGCCACATAATATTGAGTTGTAACTTTTCTGGGCTTTATGGCCATGTTCCAGAAGCATTCTCTCCTGATGTTTCATCCATATCTATTGCAGGAATCCTCAGGTTGTGAGGCCTGATGGAAACTAGGCAAGTGAGGTTTATATATCTGGAACAATTTCAAAGGTTGGAGAAAGAACTGTTATCTGTTGGAGGCAAGTGTGAATGTTGCAATTGATCACCTTGATTAGCATTAAATGGCCTTGCAGTTTCAAAGCCTGGTTCCTTCCTGCCTGGGGGGATCCTTTGTTGGAAGGTAAAGATAAAATTTCATACCACAAAAATTAAAAACAAAGGTTAAAATAGACCAGCTATTACACAATCCCAAGCCACTTCAGATATCTGCGTCACCCCTAAACCTCCAGATACTGTTGGAAGGTGATTAGCTTGCCTTGATGGTTTCTTGTCTGGAATTCCCCTGTTTCTGAGTGTTGTTCTTTATTTACTGTCCTGATTTTAGAGTTGTTTAATCCAATATAGCCAGTGGTGAAGGAAAATGGGATTTCAAGTATAGTATAACAATCTGGAGGGCCAAACAGTCTTCTTCTTTGGTTTGGGTTGTAAAATACCTTATTATTACATTGGCCACCTTTTATCTTAAGCTTCTGTTACATTAACATTCACTGCATCAACAGTGTTAACTGAAAAAATTGGGTCTAGAAATGCGTGTTCCCTTTAGATAACACTGAATGTTCAATATAGGATACTTTTTTGTTTTAGGACAATCTAAGAATGTTTTAAACAAATTTAGACGTCGATCAACAATTGGAATTCGGGGTTCACCAGAAAATAATTCTCTAATCCGATACGTTGCTTACCGACGGCGAGCAAGGAAGCAAGATGCCTTGGCGCAGGTAGATATACCATAATGTGCTGGTGATTGTACACCAACCATTATTAGGAATGATGCAGCACTCCATATGTTGTTGAACTGTAGCCTTAACTTGTGAGGACTGCTGGGACTTGCAGTCCAGCAATATTGGGAGTGCTGTATGATCTTTTACAGAGTATACATACTGAAAATGTGCAGGTAAATAGTGTTACTAAGACCAGAGAAAAAGGCCTTTTGATCAAACATGAAATTAAGTTCTAATTTAGCAGTAGTCCACAATTTAAGTGTGGCCTTTGTGGTTAGTTAAAAACTTAGGCTCATGATTGTTCTTTCCTTTATTATTGAACATTAGAAATAAATTGTTCAGAAACTTTCTTGTGTTGTCTTTGGACAGGCTAGCCCTTTTACACATCGGAACGCTTTTCTAAAAGATAAAATCGCTGCCTTCCAGTTGTCTTTTAACCCACCTGAGGAAACTGTGGAAAGACAAATCCATGTAGCTGAAACCTGTACGTAAACCTGGTGTTTTTCTGTTGAAATTTGTTGTTGAGTTCTAAAAGAGTGCAACTTAATTTTTGAAAATTTTATTTGCTTTAGTTTTGAATATGACATTGTCTAATATTTAAGGCAAGATCTCTAATTGTTTTGCCTTCATTTTGGTGGTAGGGCATAAAAAGTGATTATACCTGAGAGGACATCTTTTAAATCTTAGTAAATTTATTTGGGAAATTCTGCACTTGAAATGTAAATAATAAATAAACATTAGAAATATTTTATAGTGAAATCCAGAATCCAGTTGAGTGTTTGCTGTATCATATTGTTTCCATTAGAATCAGCATTCATTTGGTTTGCCATGCGCATCCTGCACTGGAGAGCTAAGAATAGAAATGTAAAATTCTCCAGAAAATTTGAAGACTTAGAGGATTTTTTTCTAGATTTTTGAGAAAATAAAGTTGCTGTGTGAATGGGAAAAATGCAATATTGGGTAGAAGTATGCTTTGGGAATGTGTTATAAGTATCAGAATAGATTATATTACAAGGTATTCAGAATATAATTACATATTTAACTTGCTGGTTTAAGATTTGTCTTTCATTATAAGTGTGATTGTAGCATACCTTAGTGAGCAAATTAGCTCCTTTTTTTGCAAAATAATTTCATGATTTACCACGTTCAGCTTTTACTTCTTTATTCTGTGTCAGAGCTTTCTACACCTTTCTGTGTGCATCCATGAGATCTTTTTGGCAGCATGAAACACTATAGTTGTAGTGTTCATAAGAAAAACCTGGATTCTGCTAGTCTTAAATACTGAACTTTTTTATTTGTCAACATAATTGATGTTATAGTAAGGCATGTATTTCTGCGTTTATTGCATATAGCTAAAAAAATCAATGTAGGACAACATGAAGAATCAGAACAGGACCAAAACTTGCTGTCAGTGTTTGGAACACTTGCTTTTGAGGAAAATACAGCTATGAAATCTTTAAATGGAGGGAAAACTTCCCTTGGTATACAGGAACACAATATTGTATCTCCATCATCAAAGCCTTTCCACAATGACACAGGTGAAACTGCAGAGGTATGATGTACATTGAGACTTGTAGAATTAAATTGTCTTAAATGCTGTGCCATAATGCAAAACAAATGCCACGGGCTAGTGATATTGTGCTTGTAGTATTAACTGAAGCATAACCAATATCATATAAATGTATCAGAATTATTTTTTATGAAGGTTATAAATCTGTCATAACAATTATCTGGTTTTCAATGTATGCTTATGAGATTAGCCCTGGCTAAGCTCCTACATTGATCTTTCAGAGCATAAAGCTCCGCCAGGCATAACTGAGTCCTTCTTGCTTTCTGAGTTATTGCATTACCTCTCCTGGCCCTGGAGCACTCTCAATTCCATGGCCATTTGGTGACAAGGGGATAATGAACAAAGGCCAAGGATCTGGGAGGATACTCAGTAGCTGATGGTCAGGGACTGTCTATCCACCTTTGTTATCCTCTTGTCATCAAATAGATATAGAAAGAGGTAAAGTTCAGAGTGTCATAAACACATGCTTGTATTAGATTGGTGTATACAATTTGTCACAGTCAGGATCTTTACCCCCACCTTTTTAACTATTTTCTAAATAGTTGTTAATCAGATTATTTCTTTGTCGGTGGAAGGGAGCTGTTGTATACAACTGATGCTACTGTTTTGCCATCCCCCCCTCCCCCCCAGAAGAGAAAAGTGCTTTTGTGAAACAGCTGTGGGTATTGTTTTCATATTTCTTTCACCTGCCCAAAACAAAGAGAAAACGATGGAGATTTGGTTTTCATAGCGGTTCAGAAACAATACACTTCAGAGAGCCTTCTAGGCTTTGGTGCTGTATCATTGCAGGCTTCCATTTCTCTTATGGGAACTTACAAAGAAAGTGAAACCACTTATCTCTTGCATTTGTTTTTCGACTTGGACAACAGCACTCAGTTCAAATTGGCTGCCTCATTATCAAAGGAAACTCAAGGAATGTCTTGGTTATTCTCCAGAGGAATGGCAAATGCATCTTAGCTTCCTATTTTCTTCAGTCAGGAGCTCTGCAAGGTGCTATAGCAGATTCTTTCCATGGTCTGATTGCCAAACCTCTTTCATCTCTGTCCTTTCCCAACCTGCACTATTCAACTTTATGTGTTTCGCATGACTATAGTGCAAGGATTTGAACTGGTCAGCATTCAGTCATGTAAACTAAACTGATGTGTCTTCTGAAAAATGATTTGAATACGCTTCATATATAATAATGGGTTTCTTTAGGCACTCCCTGGCTTGCTAGCAAGTAGTGCAAAATCTGGATACACGAGTTTGAAAACTACTCCTTGTAAGGGTGTATTGAGGACTTCATGTGGTAAGAAATAATTTCCTATGTATTGTCTTTATGTAAGCTTTATCTTAAGTATGATTTTTGAAAATAAAACAAGTCAAGATATTCAGTGACTGTTTTTTTATGACCAGCGATTTCATACTGTACTTGAAGACTTGAATATGAGGCTTAATAAAATGTATAGTTTTAGATAATTTTCAATTCTAAGATGTACCTTTTCCCCATATAAACATTTGTACAAATGGGTGTTTCTTAGAACTGCAGGTGTATCTTATGTGTTTTTTATCGTGCTGGTACTGAAATTAGGATGCATCTTACAATCGATGGCATCTCATGATTGAAGAAATATGGTTGTAAAACATTTAAGATAAAGTATAGAAATCCTATTCAAGGGCAACCCTCTGTGTCTTCATGCCTTCTTAAGAAATGATAGCTATCAATAGGAAAGTTCTGTAAAGAAAGCTCTGGGTAATCATTGAAAGCATGTAATAAGAATAAAGCATATCCCAAAGCTATTTCCTGGATCTTTCTCCAGGCCATAGCTATGAAGTGCTTTGTTCTACTTAAACAGTCCAGTGTCCCTTTCAGACATAAACTGTGATTATTTGTAACTGTAATAAACATAGCTGCCAGCTTTAGTCATTCAGTCAGCATGACAAACAAAATTAAGGAAAATGAAAGCTTCTGAAGACCTTATGAAACTATTAAGGGAAGGTGGATATGATGAGGAAGCCTATGATTTTGCAGCTTATTTACCTCCTGTGAAACACTGGTTTAGTACATAAATAGATTATTTGCAGGTTATAAATTGCAAACTATATAAAAAATGGTAATTCAGCAATGGCAGACAACAAAATGCTTGCAGTAGTGAAGCAACACTTCTATCTTTAAAAAATCACAAAAGAGGTTCCTTTCCTTGTCCCCCATTTTGTTAACTTGCCATCTCCTTGTATCTCTGATATATGTACACATTGAAAAATTAGAATTGCCTTTTTGTTTTTGCTTTTTTTATTTTGAAGATAAGCAGTTCTCATATGCCAGTGAAGAAGTAAACTGGAGTGCTACAATTCAGAAGAGCTGTAAGAAAGTTAGATTTGCAGAACAACAAAGTTTGCAATTATTTGATGAAACCAAGCCTCCTGTCACACCTGTTCAAAGGGATTCTTTGTCTTCCTGTTCTGCTCGTCCTGTTTTGAAGAAAAGACTAGTAGAAACTGGAGATAAGAAAGTTGGCATTGAACACCATCTTGTAAGTTTGGGGTTAATAGGAAAACATTTTTAAAACTGGGGAAAATTCATTTGGGAAGTTTCTGTGGCACTGAGATAGTTGGAATATGGACAAAATCTCCTGTTTATATTAAGAGGATAGATTCTGCATCACGTGTGTTCTGTAGTTTTCTTGTTACTGAGGAGCAGACTTGATTGGCAGAGATTAAATACTGTTATCCCAATCATTATATACACAGAAAGGTTATTCTGTGATTTTTTCTTAATGTTGTTGCATATCATTTCTGATAGCCACTAATGGATACATTTGATGCCATGTGATGTGCACATTAAGCTTTACTGTACAAGTAATTGTTTTCCCGATGAAAGATTCAAAATCCCGTAAGAAAAGTAGTGAAAATTGTCAATCAAAAACTCAGTGCATTCTTGTATTCCAGCTTGAAGTAAGCAAGCTGTTATGATCAAACCATGTAATCCATTAAGAACTAATTAAGACATTTGTTTTCACAGGAGCCGATTGATGATACAAAGGAGGAATTTTCAGCAGACCCTGCCAATACAACTAATGGTGAGGAATTATGGGAGTCATGATCCAAGAGAATCTGAAGGGCCAAGCCTTCTGTCATCATGGTTAAAGAGGTTGCCAAAGCCTTATTAATTGAGAAAATGGGGTGATAATTATTGAGAGGGGTGGGAAGAACATAATTTTCCTTGGGGTACCTAGTGAATCTTTTAGTTAATTTTATTTTGGTTATGGACTTGCCTTCCCATTACCAGTGTGTTGGTCTTTGGGGCATCATAACTCATTTTCCTTTGGCCGTTTAATATTTTATATATTTGGGACTGCTGTCAGTTTTGCTTTTTATTGTCATTTGATTTAAACTTTTTTTTACATACATTGTTTTTTGTTTACCACTCATAAAACCTTATGGAATGCAGAAAGAACTACCAGATCAGTAGAAGAAGTAATTATAAAAAATGAAGATCTCGTCTCTGTTGATATTCCATTACATCTAAAAAGAGTTCTGCACAGTTCATCAGTTTCAAGAGAAAGTTCTCCAAACATGAGTCCTGACAAGAAATCATTTTCCCAATCAGACCTTGATCACAATGATGTAAGTCAGATTCACATTTTGTGGGTTTCATATACTTGGGACTAATGTTCTGTTCAGATCCTGAACAAAATTCAAAAACTCCCCCTCCCAATATAGGAATTTTAGTTTACCAAAGAAACTCATTCATACTCTGGTCTTTATAAGTGTGTATAGCTTAGTTGAAATTTGTACTCCTTAATATAGCTTGGTATCTCATATTTGATGACCACATAACCTATTTCATAATGCCTTGTACAGTATATCAGTTTGCAATTCAATATCTATAGTAATAGTCACATTCTGAACCTAATTTTTGTTAAATCTTTGGTTTCACTGTACTGTTGCAATAGTTTGTTCTTGAAACAACATGCTTGCATTGTTACTTTCTTGCTACAGGAACAAGAATCATCAAAAGGTGCTGAATGTGCTGCAGACTATAATCTGGAAGGTAAATCTAGGTTTCTGTGTTTTTACAGTTTGCATTCCTTTTTGCATCAAGGTGCAAATACTTAGGTAATATATGCAATTTATTCAATCTTGTTCTCCCTTTTAGAAACAAGCAAAAATTCTCTTCATGTCCAAGCTCCTGCACGTAGAATAACAAGATTGTCTGTAATAAATCAGGTAAAAGTATGAATTTTTTGAGCAGTGAATTTCAGTAAATGGATAAGTGCATTTCCAAATTGGATCTTCACAATCAATTAACATTATATAGTTTACTGGAGACAACACTCAACTATTTATCGTGTGATAGTGTTATAACTATTGATAAATGAAAATAAGACGTTGCTTATGTTTTTTAAAAGAATTGCAAAGAAAGCATTTTAAACCTGTGTGATGCAGTGTTCTTAGTCTATATTTTATGTGAGATAAATTTAGACTTATGGCAAATAGTGTCTGTTTTTATACACTGACTTCATAATATGAATAATTCTTAACAGCATTGCAGCAAAGTAGAAGAAACAGATTCTGCCCTTGCAAGCAAAGTGCCAATCAAGAATTCCAAAGACAAAGCCAACAAAATTCAAAAAACTAAACCTGAAGCAAAATCTGTTCAGAAAAAGAAACCAGTGAGTAATATTTTACATTGCAGATGATGTTTTGGTGGGTTGTCATTGTGTAGTTCTGCTTTTAATTGTAGATTACACAGTGCATCGTTGAGATGTCAATTGGTGAAAGAGGTTAATAGTTAATAGTTATCTTGGCTTAGCCATAAATCGACTTGCTTACAGAGCAACTAAGAGGTCTGTTATTCATAGGATTGTCATAAGTCAGGATTGATTTGCTGGCAGTTAACAGCAATAACAAAATTGAAAAATGAAAGTTTTAGGTACTGTTATTGGAGAGACTGTTGGAAATAGCAACCTTCTCAAGCCTCCGCTAGTTATTTGTTATGTATATAATTGCTTACTGTATTGTATATGTGTATATTGGTTTGCCGTTTTCTTTAACTTTGTTGTGGGAGGGGCTGCAGCCCATGTGATCAGGTCTGGGCTTATTCAATTTTTGTTGTGGTGACTTGATACATCATATGACTGAATTGATTTGCCTACATTTAAAACATAGTTCTCTTTACTAAATACAATGTCTTTGAATGTAATGTAATATAAGAACTGTGTTAAGGTATTCTATGAGGGAGTCGCTAACTCACAAGGCTTCTTGTATGGACTGGTACATGCTTGAACTTGCTTTCCGATCCAATAGACTAAATCTCAATCAGCAAGGAACAAATATTTAGCTTATATATACCAACTGCAAGTTATAAATGTAATTTTAACAGAGTACATAATGATATCCTCTATATATTTTATAGGCTGCTAAATGCAAAGTTTTTGGAAAGAGGAGAAAGAAAAAAAAGAATCAAAAAGCGTTGTATGGACAGCGAGAAATCGCATCAAAGACACCTCTCTTGAGTCCAATTCTTGAGGTGACAGAAGAAATCTCATTTGGGTCTTCTTATCAGCACACCCCAGAGTCACACGTTTCAAGCTTTGGTATGTAAACCTATGGTCTGCTTTTCTGATCCTCATAATACAGTGGCAAATTCCTTGTGTTGTTAATGGGGGTATCATTAACACAAACAGTATAACCTTTTTCTATTACGAAACTTTCAAACTGTTATATCTATTTTCATCAGCAGTTTTGCTTGAGACTTGGGCTGGATCTGCACTACCATATCATTCCATTTTATAATGCAGTTTAACTGCATTTAATTGGATTACATGAGTCTACACTGCTGTAGAACCCAGTTCAATACAGTTAATCTGCATTCTGAAATTGCATTTTATGGTAGTGTAGATCCAGTCCCAGACAGAGTTAATACACTGCGATGGCACTGCGGGTTAAACCGCTGAGCTGCTGAACTTGCTAACCGAAAGGTCACAGGTTCGAATCTGGGAGGTGGGGTGAGCTCCTGCTGTTCACCTCAGCTTCTGCCAACCTAGCACTGCGAAAACATGCAAATTTGAGTAGATTTGGTACTGCTCTGGTGTTAAGGTAACAGTGCTTCATGCAGTCATGCGGGCCACATGACCTTAGAGTGTCTACGGACAACGCTGGCTCTTCAGTTTAGAAATGGAGATGAGCACCAGCCCCCAGAGTCGGACATGACAGTTGAAAATCTTTACCTTTACCTATAACAAATTATTTATGGATTGAGAATTTAATCCTAAGGGCTCCCAACCTGTCTTCCTTTGGTGCTTAGTAGTCTTACTCAGGGTCTCTGCAGGAACTAGGAGTAAGTGTGGGGTAAGTAGAGGAGAGGTCTAAGGAGAGGGGGGCAGAAAACAAGGGGAGTGTTGTGGAATGCCAAAAATACAGTTTGTTAAAATGATCTGAAATGTTATTTTATTATAATGGGCATCTGTTTAGAGTTTGCTACAAGCTTCTTTTTAGAGTTTGAATCTTTCACCTAACTAGCAAAATCTAGTTAGATATTCGATTCAAACACTGAACAGAAATGTGGTGTGTCGCCTGGGCCTTTTCTAATTAAGATTCTTTCTTAGATTATTCCATTTTGAGCGACCTTCGTGGGGAATCTGAGAATGGAAGAAATGAAAACAGTTGCAGCCTGTGGGATAATAAGGAAGATGGTGACTGCTTGCATTCTAGTCTGGATCTTTTCAAGAAATTGGACATGCCAGCCTCATTCTCGCTGCTTGCAGATGATTCTGCAGATGGTTTGAAGGATATGCTTCCCTTAGAGTCTCCTAAACAAAATTCTCCCAAGAAATTGAATACTATCTTAAAGGAAAAGGTACAGGTGTTGAATAGTGACTGTACCTCAGGAAAAGCCAAGAAGCAGGAGAAACATGAGATCCTACACTCACCAAGAGCTGAACGGACTGCACTTGTTAGTGTAGAATCTGCAGCCCAATTAGGGGGTGAAAGTGACAGCATGAACCTCAACAAGTTTCCAAGGAGAAAATCCAGAAGACAAACCTTTCATCTTCCAAATTGTTCTGAAACACCTGAAAACATTCACAGTATCCCTGAAGGCAATGGGGAAGAGCTTTCCCTTGCACCCGCGGATTCTGAACTCTTACATAGCCTACAATGCAGTATAGAGGCCTCCTTCAGTAGTACTTCCAGAAGGGTGAGGCGCAGCATGAGAGGGCATAAAGATGCAGAAAAGGAGGGACTGGCCTGGATTGAGATACCTGATTCTGCCTGCAGCATCAAGAGAAGACTGTCCTCCTGCATTCCTCAAGAATCGGAGCTGCTTCATCAAAAGGAAGCAAATGGCATCCAGTTGCCCTTCCTAATGAGCGAAGAGCAGGAGAATGCTCATGTTCCAACTGGCCCTTACAAGGTAAAGAAAAGGAAGAGCATTGCCGTGCTATGTGCCAAAGAAAACAACAGCCTTCAGGCCCAGAGAATCAGAAGAGCGAGTCTTGGATACAAAAGTGATTACTGCTATAGAAAGGAAATGAGCACATTCATTAAAAATCATCCTACAATTTAATTTAAGACTATTCCTGTTTGAAAGGGGAAGGTAGCCAGTTTGTTTGAGACATAAAACCAGAATAATTTGGATTTTTGAAAAAGGTTAAGAAATTATTATTAATGCTACACAGAGGAAATGTTGACAAAAAGTACATGTACAAAGAATGAAAATGCAGAAGAGAAATAAAAGAAATAATGGAAGTATAAAATATATTGTTTATTGCACATCTATCTATTTATTTATATTATAAAAGTCAGTGTTTGTATGCGGAGGGAGGGAGGGCAGTGTATGTGGCAGCTTTCTGATTGGCTGCCACTTTCACAGGCCACTGTGACCTGCATGGGTGACGGACCTGGATCAAACTTGGCACACATAACCCCCGTGACCCCCTTTACGTCCTGGTGCAGTTTGGGGGAAGTGGACCACGGATTATGGGATTGGTAGTACTTTCAAACGCTTTGGTTCCCACTGACCATTGTGGCCCCCAACAAAGTCCGATAAAGACCAAACTTGGCACCCAGAGCTCCCATGACCCACTCTACATCCTACTGCAGATTAGAGGAAGACCAACCACACATAATGGGATTTGTAGTACTTCCCCTCCCTTCTGTTCCCATAGACCATGGTGGCCCCCAACAAAGACCAATAAGGACCAAACTTGGCAGACAGAGCCCCCATGACCCACTCTACATCCTACTGCAGTTTGGAGGAGGGTGGAACATGGATGATGGGACTTGAAGTATCTTCACACACTTCCCGAGACTGTTGCAACCCTCATACAATGACTGATCAAGACCAAACTTGGCACACAGAGCCCCCATGACCCACTCTACATCCTGGTGCTGTTTGGAGGAGGATGGACCATGGACGATGGGACTCGCAATACCTTCACTAACTTCCAGAGACCCCTGTGAGCCACATAAATAACTGTTAAAGACCAACCTTGACACACAATGCCTTTCTCAAATAACCCGGGCACCACTGGGTCCCCAAGCTAGTAGCTAATAAAATTAAGGCTTAAGTTTTTGAGCTGGTTTCTAATGTGTCCTTATTCAGGTGGTCAGAAGAATAGTGTCAGAGAATTGATATTGTCAGCTGGTAATAGCAAGGAAATGACAATGGGAAAGTTTAAGCTAACATAGGTTTCATATGACATGCACAAAATTCTGTGCACATTTAATTTTGGGGGTAAATTGCTCTCTTTTAAAAGGGCTTGTTCAACCTAAGAAGCAAGCATTTAAATTAGGTTGGTGAATTTATCTCTCAAATATACACACCTCTGGAGAGTTGTTGGTTTTTTAAAAAAAAAATGTTCCAAATTAGTCTTTACTATTGGGAGAGTTAAAATATATAGACGTTGAAATTATTGTAAAAGTGGTTAAAACGTTTAATGGGATGGCATTCTTCATACACCAACCTTCTACATTTTTACAGTTAAAGTTGCATGTTAACCTACTGATGTGTATACCACAGTTGCCAAAAAATTGGTTTCCTGTTCCTATCACGGATCACTACAAAAGCTTAGAAGGAAATTTTATTGTATACTTAACAGAGTTGAAATCTCATTTTCATTTCAAAAGTCTTGGCTTTTTTAATGGCCCATTGAATACCGTATTTACTCAAGTATAAGACGACCCGAATATAGTTCGAGGCACCTAATTTTACCACAAAAAACTGGGGAAATGGATTGACTCGAATATAAGCCGAGGGTGGGAAATGCAGCAGATAGTGGACAATTTCAAAATAAAAATAGGATACCAATAAAATTACATTAATTGAGGCATCAGTTGGTTAAATGTTTTTGAATATTTACATAAAACTGTAATTCAACATAAGACTGTCCAACTCTGGTTCAACCATTATTCTAACTTTCAGTGTAAATATGCTTACGGATCCTTCCAATAATAATAAATAGAGTAAAATAATAAATGTAACAATAACAATAATACTTTTATTTATTATTTCGAACATTTCTACCCCGCCCTTCTCAACCCCCGAAGAGGGACTCAGGGCGGCTTACAAAAGGCACAATTCAATGCCAACAATACACATAGTAAGATAAAATACATAGCAGCGACAGTTATAAATAGTTAAAACAGTCCAATTATACAATCACAACTAATAAAAGCTAAACCAGTGATCAACGTTCGCCAAGTTCAAAATCCGTAAGTTCATTCTGCATTGTCATAATCCTATCCAACTCTAGTCGTCATTGTCCTTTGTCTGTCTGCCAGATTACCCAAAGGCCTGGTCCTATATCCATGTTTTTAGTTTCCTTCTGAAAGAGAGGAGGGATGTCGATGACCTAATTTCCCCGGGGAGCGAATTCCACAGGGGAGGGGCCACCACCGAGAAGGCCCTGCTCCTCGTCTCCACCAATCTCACTTGTGATAAAGGCGGGGCCAAGAGCAGGGCCTCCCCAGAGGATCTTAAACTCCGAGGCGGGACGTAGAGGAAGATGGGTTCGGACAGGTACACTGGGCCGGAGCCGTATAGGGTTTTGTAGGTCAAAACCAGCACCTTGAATTGTGCTCAGAACTGGATCGGCAGCCAGTAGAGCTGACACAACAGGGGGGTGGTATGCTCCCTGTATGACGCTCCGGTGAGTAATCTGGCTGCCGCCCGTTGGACTAATTGAAGTTTCTGAACAGTCTTCAAAGGCAACCCCACGTAGAGTGCATTGCAGTGATCTATTCAGGATGTAACAAGAGCGTGGACCACTGTGGCCAGATCACACTTCCCAAGGTACGGGCGCAACTGGCGCACAAGTTAATAGAGTAAAATAATAAATGTAACACTAACAATAATAATAAATCGAGTAAAATAATAAATAAAATAAAATAATAAATGTAATAACAATAATAATAAAGTAAAACAACAACAATAATAACAACAACAAAGTAAAATAATAAATAACCTTGATTCGAGTATAAGCCGGGGGAGACTTTCAGCCTAAAAAAAGGACTGAAAAACTAGGTTTATACTCGAGTATATACAGTATATTTTCTTTGTTGTATTTGTTCGGTCTTAATATTTTATGGTCTATTTTTAACGCAGGCAATCTATATCTTTCTAAACTTGGTTTAAAAGTCAGTTTAGTTTCAAGTTACAGTTTTCTTTCTTTTCAAGGCTTGTATCCTCGGCGTATCAGAAGAGGGCAGTATGGCATGACTTTTTAAAAGGTGTGTGGAATTTTAAAAAATGTCTTCTGTTTTTTTTTTAAGCACGACATATCTAAATCCTTTTAGTTGGAGTTAAAATAAAGTAACAACTGGATGTAAAAGCATTAGTTGGGAAATCATCAAATGTTAGTTTTTATTTTAACTCTATTGAAATAAATGAGACTTACCGTATATACTTGAGTATAAGCCGACCCAAATATAAGCCGAGGCACCTAATTTTACCACAAAAATCGGAAAAATGTATTGACTCGAGTATAAGCCGAGTGGGAAATGCAGCAGCTACTAGTAAATTTCAAAATAAAAATAGATACCAATAAAATTCTATTAATTTAGCCATTAGTAGGTTAAATGTTTTTGAATACAGGGTTAGTCAAAATGAATAGGCCAATAGGAAAATTAATTTTAGCCGAATGTATGTTTATTGTAACCAAACTACAGCTACGTATCGACAGATAAATTATCAAAGTTTTGTCTCACCTTCAGAGATGTTCGATATGGGCGCCCCGTGTGACACGGCAGATGTCCAAGCGATAGTCCAGTTCATTCCACATCCGTTGCAGCACATCCGACGTAATGGCATCGAATGCAGCTGTGTCTTCGGAGACACGTGGTCGTCCTGTGGTTTTACCCTTGCATAAGCAGCCCGTCTCCTCAAATTGCTTTACCCACCTTGCAATGGAATGTCGATGAGGTGGTTCCTTGCCATACTTGGCTCGAAATTCTCGCTGGACCGTAATTACTGACATTGTTTTAGCAAATGTCATCACACAAAACGCCTTCTCTTTGCTTGATTCCGCCATTTTGAAAACAGCGACCCCTAGCGACGCCTAGCGGCATTAACGTACATGTGTGTTGCTCAAAAAAAACTTTGATAGTTTATCTGTCGCTACGTAGCTGTGGTTTAGTTACAGTAAACATACATTCGTCTAAAATTAATTTTCTTATTGGCCTATTCATTTTGACTAACCCTGTATTTTCATTCATCGGACCAAATGACACACATCCCTTTCTCCAGTAAACAAAAGCAAATTGCAACCTCTGATTAAACCATTGTTCTAACCTTCTTCAATGTAAATCTGCTTACATCCTCCAATAATAATAGAGTAAAATAATAAATGTAACAATAACAATAAATAGAGTAAAATAATAAATGTAATAATAACAATAATAAAATAATAAATGTAATAATAATAATAATAACGAAGTAAAATAATAAATAACATTAACTCAAGTAGAAGCCGGGGGAGACTTTTTCAGCCTAAAAAAAAGGACTGAAAAACTAGACTTATACTCGAATATATACAGTAATAATAATTTCAACTGGATTTTCAACGAATGCTAAACTTCACCCACCTCTTTTAGTTCCAGAGGCAGAAACTTTATCGATCTTACCTCTCATTGAAAACTATGATGGTACAAACTATTATCAGTACTCTGATCATGACAAAATATACCTTTTTGTGTGTCTTATTTGTTTTCAAACAATTTTTTGTGACAGGAGGTTTGTTTAGCAATATTCTATCCTTGATGAAAGGAAACCTGTGGGTCATTCCATGCCAAGTGATCTAAACTTTCTCACCATGTCTCCAATTTTGTTCAAATTTTAGCTATAGTGCCAGTCAGGTGTTAAAGTAAGGGGTTGTGCACCGGGATTGTGGCGCAGCTGGCTGTCAGCTGCATTAAGATCACTCTAACCAAAAGGTCATGAGTTCGAAGCCAGCCCAGGTTGGAGTGGGTTTCCAACCAATTGTGTGTAGCCTGTTGTCGACCTTTGCAACCCGAAAGACAGTTGCATCTGTCAAGTAGGAAAATAAGGTACCACCTTAAAGTGTGGGGAGGCTAAATTAACTGATTTATGAGGCCATAAAGAAGCATTCCAGCGGGGAAGCATGCGGGGAATGCGGAAGTGCTTCATCAGCGTCGCAGATGGACGATTAAAGCGACAGCTTCCCTGGTGGCCAGAAAAAGTTAAATAGCCTCTATGTCTGTATATGTTTGTATGTCAAAAATTGGCATTGAATGTTTG